TCTTCAGTGGTGTGGTTGTCCTTCTGGGCTGAGCTTCCATCACAAGAGCTAGAGGATTTGTGGTATGATGATCCTCGGCACAGGCAACCTCATTGACAAATTGCTTAAGATGTTCATAGAGAGTGCAGAGGTCAATTTCATCCAAGTCGATCCGAGATCTAACATCCTTCACTGTCTTTTCCCATGCAGGATGCAGGCTGGATAGAAATCTAATATTCAGTTCCAAGTTGGACCTGAATACTTTGATTTTTCTGAGTTCATTGACCAGTTGAACGAGTCTGTTGTAAGTCTCGTTCAAAGGTTCTCCCGGGCCTGCTTTGAAGGAGTCATAAGCAATAAGAATTGTCGTCTTCTTGGTCTTAAGGCTAATGTTTGTGCCTTGGAGCAGTTTCTCTATCTCATCCCACATTTCCTTAGCTGTTTGCATACTATCTATGAGAACGTATACTTCATTGGGGATTGCTTGAAGAAGGTATGTTTTGGCCATGAGATCACCACGAAGCCTGTGCTTGTCAGCTTCCGTGTATTCAGATGCCACTTTCCTCCTTATTTCTGGAAGAATAGGAGGGTTGTTTTCTGGATCACCACCAACTGAAATCATGAGTTCAGCTGGTCCTTCAAGCAAAGATTCAAGCATCGCAGCGGAGTTCTCTTTGTGCTCAAGGAAATTAAGGAATCGATTCCTCCACATTTGGTATTCTCCTTTCCTATGACTGGGAGGAGTACTGCTGTTCCCTTGTGCATTGAATTCTGAGGCCATTGCTGTATAAAAACTGACCGTTCAAGATAATTGATCAAAAGATTTTCAGAGGCAGAATGTCGAAAAATCAGATGTCGAGATCTGAATATCGAGATCTAGGATTTCGATAAAGGAGGCCCGGTATCGAGATTTGAGCTCGAGATTGGGATCTCGAGATTAAGGATCTCGAGATTTCAAATTTCGAGAAGAGGATCTCGAGATTTGAAATGTCGAGAAGTTAAAACTCGAAATTTTAATTTGAGAAATCAAATGTCGAGACCAGATTTCGAAACCTTAAACTCGAAATCTTTGATCTCGAGATATAGATGTCGAAATCCTCAATGTCGAAATCCTGCAATCTGTAAAAATCAGATAAACAAAATCTGAAGGTAGTTTCCTGTAGAGTAGGATGTCGAGATCCTTAGGTAAAGTTTTCAGCTCGAAATATCTGGCAGAACCTGCTTAAAACCTAGATGTCGACAAGGGCTACTCGAAATATCTCAAGTACAGAATATGCGTAAAACGAAATCTGAAGTATACCCCTTGATCGCTTTGAAACGACGATTCTAAGGGTGTAACTTTTACAAATTTTGAACAAGAAACAAGATTACAGAGTAAAATATCGACAGAAAGAACAACGTAAAGAAAAACAGAGTCTTCTGCAGGCGTTCTTCTGATCGGCTCTCGATCGGCTCTGATACCAATTGATAGTCCCTGTTTCTGTAACAGCAATGAATAACAATCTAACAAAGAAGATTAAAAGTAAAGATGAACACAGATTGAATCAATGTAAAACCCTCTTTGATAGACCGTGAACACGTACACAGAAAGATATGCGCGTAAGGCTCTAATGAATAAGTACGACGTTAACCTAATCCTAAACCCTCGACTCCCTTGTTATAGGCGAGGTTTAGGTTAGGCGTGAAAGGATTTTAGCCTGTTTATATGGGCCTAACACTTGGCCCACATTCTATCTAATACATGCACTAATTTAATACAATGAATAATAATAAAGCTAATCTATGACAAACTTGATTCACAATTAAAATATCTCCAATAATCATACTTACACGTTTAATGATAATCCCAGAATACTACAATCATACAATCATAAGCAGTAATATAGAAGCAGATAGAAAGAAATCGAGAAGATGAACCGAATCTGGTATACCATATGAACTGTCCGCTGCTCTCCCTGGAGAAGGAGAGCAGCGGCAACCCTAATCTCTCTATCTTTACGCTTCTGAACTCTAAGACTCTTTTGATCTTTAGGGTTCCCGTAAGTTAGCCACCTTTTATAGGAGAAGTTAGCTAACTTACGGGTTACAAGGAAGCCCACAGGCTGATACACATTTGTGGCCCGTATTACACGTTTAATTAATAACTACACAAATACAAAGATAACTAACTAGATTGAACACCATAAAATATTCCCAACAATCTCCCCCTTGGTGATCAATCGTGTTGAATCAGCATTGCAGCGCGGATATCTTTGTCTTTGTTGTTATTGAGCTTCCTTTGTCTTCGAACTTGATTTCTGAGGAAGGCTATCTGAAGAAATCCTTGCAACCTCCCCTTTGATGTCTTCTTGACAATTTGATATTTGATGCCGGGGGTTGAGGGACCTTCAGTATCTTGCATGTAGTCCTTGCCTTCCAGAAGTTGCTCTTGATCAGCTTGGATGAAGTCCGGTGACGTCTCTAGAATGAATATTCTTTGGAGAATAGGAGACGCCCATGGAATTCATCTTCAGGACACGAGTATTTGACGTTTGTCTCCTCCACAATGTAGTCTTTTTGACTATTTGGAATGAATGCTTTTGAGGAGAGCTTGTTGGTGGCACAGCGGAACATAATGATGGTTGAATTGTGAACGTAGCTGACCATTTGAGTTGTGGAGATAGTAGAGAGAGTGTTGGAGGAGAGAAGTGTCCCAGAATGATTTTTTGACAGTTAACAGCATGTGGACCACTTTCCCCCTCATGACGATCCGATGATTCGGGGCGTCATGCCTTTATTCTTTTATTCTGCGGAAATAAAAACAGGAAAACAAGCAGAATGTAAAGAAGATAACGTAGCCCCCTGGGCTCGTGTAGACACCCGTTTTCATCACTATAGAGATAAACTCTAAAGCAATGGCCTCAAAATGTTGGTGATTCTTATGTTGCAACAGCAGGACTTCCTTCCAATCATTAGTCTACATCTGCAGTAGATGAGACCTATGGAAGTTCTCGCGGGTCATTGAAGACCTGCAACTGACTTAAAAAGTGCGGCGGTGTCCTAGAAAATTCAAAACATTTGGGAGTGAGGTAACTAGACACGACGTGATCAATGAAAGTTCAGTGGCATGGGGCTGAGGCCACTGTAGTCAGTATTACTTGCCTCGGAAGGAGACAATAATGAGAGATGCGGTTCCCCGTGAACTATGATTAAACACCTGTCTGTTGGGAGACAAGTGAGTGGTCTAGGGTAGGGTTGTGCATGCGCCGTTTGGACAAAATGCAGCGACTTCTACCCGGGATCTGAATAAATTCAATCATGAACCTATGGGGATAGTCCAGAGTATTTTAGTGGCTAGGAGAGAATGTTCAATTCATAGCATGCAATTGAGGTAGCAGACTCATCATTGATAATTGTTTTTCTTCTCACTTGAGCCTTCTGCTTCCTAATGCTCATAATGTTCACTCACTCACTCGCTCACTCACGCACTTACGCTCGGCTTTGTCCCTTGGGTAGGCTTAGTTGGGTTTACTAAGCCATAGGGATATGTTCTCTCATTACTTTCTTCATTTTCTCTCTGTGCTCCCCCTCAACTGGAGCACTCGGTATGCTTTGTCATTGTTAGGCATCGGGAAGGATAACATTGAACACTCCCTCTAAAATGTTGCATCCTTTGAGAGATTCCTTGCTTTGTCGGTGTAAGGCGTCAGGAGGAGAAAACTGAAACTCCCCCTCAGAATGTGCAAGGTTTGATTGCTCACAGCTTGTCATACCCGCCATGTGTGTGGAGCAATCTGAACATGTACCACACATGACGGTTTCCCTGAGCTCATCATGTAGAATTTCAGCATATTGATGATCACATAATGTTGACGAGTCAGGGGAGAGCAGGTGGATTTTAAACAAAATTCTAAGGCAATACCTCGAAATCCTAATCTCGAGGTTTAAATCTTGAGATTACAATCTCGAGGTTGCCTCGAAGAATAATGGCGAAATCCACCTGCAAAACAAACCTCAGAATATCAAAATCTGCAGAATTTCAAAATGTTTGAACATCGAAAACTTTGGAGTTTCGAAAACCTCATAATCTCGAAAACTTGCTGTTTGAAAAACATCAGAACATCGAAAACTCCTGAAACATTTATAAGCAGGGAATCATTCAGAGATCCTATAATGTAAAGCTTCGATGAACTGCAAAGGATGTCAAGATTCGAATTATGAGTTCCAAGAAACTGCAAACTTTGAAAGATTCAAAACATCGAGAAATTTTGAAAATCTCGAAATCTTCAGAATGTCGAGATCCAAAACATCGAGATCCCAAATGTCGAAATCCCAAAACTCGAAATTCCTAAACTCGAAATTCCAAAACTCGAGATTACAAGTCTCGAGATCTTGATTTCGAGATTCAAATCTCGAGATCTTGATTTCGAGATTCATATCTCGAGATCATGATTTCGAGATTCAAATCTCGAGATCTTGATTTCGAGATTCAAATCTCGAGATCTTGATTTCGAGATTCAAATCTCGAGATCAAGATGTCGAGATGCAAATCTCGAGATCAAGATTTCGAGATTCAAATCCCGAGATCAAGATGTCGAGATGCAAATCTCGAGATCAAGATGTCGAGATTCAAATCTCGAGATCTCAAAAGTCGAGAAGAGGAAATCGAGTCCCTAAATGTCGAGATCCTGCAAAACGAAAACATTGATTTTTGAAAATCTGAAACCTGTTCTGAATAGCCCTGAAAGTCGAGATTCTCCTGTATCAGTTTCAGGCCAAAAACGTTTCTGCAGCAGTGAAAAATAAGGATTTCGAGATCTCAAAGTAGAGATCTTCGAAATATAAAAATTGCAGAAAACGAAAAAAAAAGGTATGCTGCTGGATCGGTTTTGAAAGGCGAGTCCAACAGTATGATTTTTACAAAATTTCGTTCACAAACAAGATTACAGGAGCAAATCTATACATATAGAAAAACAGAAGAAAAACAGAGCAGTTCTTCGTTAGATCCAAAAAATCGCAGATAGATCCAACCTGTTTCACGCCTCGGCTCTGATACCAAATGTTAATCCCATAATACATATAATCGAACAATCATAGCAGTGATAAAGAGGCAGATAGAAAGATATGTCTAAGATTAAACGCGAATCTGGTATACCGTATGAAAACCAACCGCTGCTCTCCCTGGAGAAGGAGAGCAGCAGCAACCCTACTCTCTCTATCTTTACGCCTCTGCGTCTCTAAGCCTCTTACGATCGTTAGGGTTCCCGTAAGTTAGCCTCCTTTTATAGGAGAAGTTGGCTAACTTACGGGTTACAAGGAAGCCCACGGGCTGATACACATTTGTGGCCCGTATTACACGTTTAATTAATAACTACACAAATACAAAGATAACTAACTAGATTGAACACCATAAAATATTCCCAACACCGGTAAAAACAAAGCTAATTTCACAAGTAAAAAAACTAATGGATACACAATATGTTTCTTTGTCTCCACCAATTTTTTAGCAAGAGAACCAACTTCTGTAATATCTATAAATGCAGAGTTGGAGGGCACATCAAGAATAAAACTTTCAAGTTGACTATCAAGAGCAAGAACATCTACCGGTGAATAGTCAAAAGGATATAATTGAGCCATACGAATCAACTTGTCCTTGTCACAAGATGAAAAAGTGTCTTTAGGACTAAGGCAAGCCACACAAAGAAGCAATTCTGTAGTAATTTCTGGGAATCGATTGTTCAATTCTTCGCGTTGTCTATCCACCACAACATAGAACAAGTCCACTTTGTAACGATTTAAGTTTGTGATTTGGATAACTTTGCGACGGACTCTCCCATGAGGTACATAAAAATCATTCATACTTGGAATTGAAATTTTATTCTTTTCACAAAAAGAAGAAACTTCACCAAAGAGAATATCCCATCCTCCGTCTCTTAAATTTTGAAATCGTTCTTTGGCAACTTTAACCAATTCCATAGCATTAACAATATCTTGATCCTTTCTTTGCAAACATTTTGACAACTCATTTGTTATTCCAAGAACACTCTTTATCAAGTGTAAGGTGAAAACAAAATCAAAACATTGGACCAATTGCAAGAGTGTTTGAGCTTCAACTCGTTGTTCAGAATTTGAACCATGTTCAGCCACATTCTCAAGCACATCAAGGATAGACGAAAACAAGATAATAATGTTGAGACACGTACCATAATGAGAACCCCATCGTGTATCACCAGCACATTTGAGGCTACGCTCTTGATGCAATCCTTTTCCACTACAAATCTCGTCATTATTTAATGCTTCAACAACTCTAATAGCTTGACTCTCTTTGAGCATCTCATACCGTTTGCATGAAGCTCCAACAACATTTAATAATGTTCTTATGTTTTGAAAAAGAGAAGCAACACAATCTTCACTTTTTGCAACGGCTACAAGAGTTAATTGAAGTTGGTGAGCAAAACAATGAACATAAAATGCACACTCATTTTCCTTCAAGATTAAACTTTTCAAACAACTGAATTCACCACTCATGTTGTTAGCCCCATCATAACCTTGTCCTCGTAATCTAGAAAAGCTCAATCCGTGCTTGGAAAATTCAGAATCAATTGCTTTTTTTCTTTTTGCAATTGCCTTTGCTGACTTTTCAATTCTCCTTGCCTTTGCTGACTTTTCAATTTGGTGTTCCAACTTTTAAACTTTTTAAATTGACTCCCACTTTTTTAAATGTTGGATGGTGTCAATATACGTAGTATAATTTATGAAAGATTATTTATACCTATATAGAGAATTTTTATTTTTCAGTGTGTCAATTTTAAATTTTAATTTTTTTTTATATACCTACCTATGAAAAAAAATCCAGTGGTGTCAATTGACACCACTGGCCAAAGGGTGGCTCCGCCACTTATGGTCATCATGTTCGCATCCTCTGTTTCCGGCGGTAGATGCTGTCAGCCAGAGTTCGTCGCTCTTATTTCAGCGCCTCCTGTCTTGCTCGGCCACCGCGCCTGGACCAATCAGCTTGAGGTCCCAGACTTAAGTCGTAGCTGTCTCCTAGGGATCGGATCTCCCTTTCTCCTCCGCCCTGCCGGCCTCCGTCAACGCTCCATGCCTGAATCAAAACCACGGTCATCCTCAGGGCTTAGGCCAAGGTTCTGCGGCTGCTACCTCTCTCCGGCGGAGAGAGCTACGGTAGCTGTTCTGACCCCTTGAGTTGGTGACGACCATGGCAGGGGACAGGGCAAGGTGTTATGCTCGAAACTTGTGACCCCGCTCTAATCTGTACTTCAGCAGGGACGCCGCCTTTCTTTCTGCTGACGGTGATTGTAAGCGGCTGGCGACAATCTAATCCAGACCTCCGGCGGCTTCGAGGAAAGGGCTGCCCTCACCTAACGTTAGGTGCGGGAAGTGACAGCAGACCACACATCATTCAAAGATCTGCCGACATGGACTGTTAGCACATGGACTGTTAGTCGATTAGCTATCAACAACTCTGCGGACATCGTTTGAAGAAGGACCTACTAGCGCATATGGACGGTCAGCTACTCCGTATTAAAGCTCCGCAGGTAAACATAAGGGCAAGCAGTGGGCTAGAATTGCGTGGAGCCAAAAATTGGGCCTCAAATATGTGGATATGGGCTAAGGCTTCTACAATTTAAAACGGGCCCAAGGAGTTCTGCTGGATGATATTCATTCTAGTGAGCCCACATTTTTCAGCCCGCTTAAAAAAGCTAAGTGCTTCTCTTTAATTTTTATATTATTTATATTTATTTAAATCATTTCTTTTTCGGTTAAATGTCACACTATCACGCAATTATGATCAAATGCCTAGTAGACTGTGACTTGAGACCATCACTAGGATTTAAAGCCCTGACTCCTCAGGCATAAAGCCCTGACTCCTCAGGCACAAAACCCTGACTCCTCAGGCACAAAGCCCTGACTCTCAGGCACGAAGACCGGTCTTAGTCATTCCAAGAATGGCGACCGTTTCGTACGAATGGCTCACACCTCCACTCTACTAAGTATTTTATCATCACATCAACAATTCACATTTCCACTTTTTTCAAGTGACGAACTCCCGATCGGAAACATAAACCCCAAGAAAAAAATTTATATGCATGCTAAATGTGTAGGTACGAAGATGACTTTGTTCATTTTTACCTCGACTCCACTCGCCTCAAAGAGTGGGGGATGGGGGACTGAGAGGTCAGAGTTTCTAGATGAGCAGAAAATATCACGCATGAGCAGGAACGAAAGCTGAGTCAGATGAAGAGGAGTTGAACCAGACAAAAATGATTATGCCGGAAGGGGCCTACCTTCCTTGTTTCATGTTGGGGGCGCTAGGTGTACTCTTTTTCCCTTTATTAGGATTTTGTCCCACAGGGTTTTTTCCTAGTAAAGGTTTTTAACGAGGCACCTCCCCATCACAGACAAGGGTGGTGGTCCCCGGACGGAGAGGAAGAAATCAAAGACAGAAGAACGTTGCAGATACAGTTTGGACTACTCCCTTTCGCCTCGAGTACTCTCGACTCAGGGAGTGGGGGACTCCTGATGGAATATATGGACTTCGACCCCCCGGTCTGCCGACTACTGGGCCTAGACAGCGTCCCACACACGTTTAGCGGATATCATTCATATTATTGTACATTATTATTATTATTATTATTATTATTATTATTATTATTACTATTATTATTCAGATGTTCTAGATTAGTTTTTTGTACTATCAATCCATTTATGTAACCGGGTCTGTCAGGCCCATATTAGAGGCCCAGACCCGGATTTTCCCTTTATATACTCCTTTAGGAGGCTACACAAAAGATAAAACCAATATTCATTCTATACACTATTCATCTTCCTCTTCCCCATTTCCCTACTACATTCTTGTTCAAATCTCCTTTTCACACAATATGGGTATCGATTATCCAACAGTTTCGAATGATGGTTACCGTTCTAAAACTTTAATACGTGGTTAATGCACGTTTAATAGCGTGATTAACATAGTAGACATTTAACACAACATGAGTGGCCTGGTGATTGATGGGTGTTTAATATTATGACTCCTCCTCTTCTGTATATGTCTGACAGATCTTTTGGGAAGCGCTCTTAGCACACTGAATTGAACTGAGCACAACTACCTATACACACTACTACAACACTAAAATGTCCAAAGAACAAACTTCGTCAAGCTTCTGAAAGACTTCTCTTGTTCTACCCTTTGTTCCAGTTCGCCGAAACAACCTATTGAGTGATCAATAGAGTTGTTCGTTTGTCATGGTATCCTGGGAAACTAACATTGCAATGCTCTTACCATCGTGGGGGACAACAATTTGGTTTTAAGGACTTTGTGTGTCACACTAACTTTGGATGTTTCTTTGTTCGTTCTACGTTCTGTCCACCCTGGCTATTTTATTCTTATTCAAATCAATGTTTACGTAATACAGAAATGCAAAAATACAAAATCAAATCAATAGGAAAAAGCCGCTACGGTGGAAGCAATGAGGCGGCTGCAGGTAACTGACCGCAATTCTAGCCACGACTAAGGTGCCTTTGGGGTCGGCGGAACTTTGCGCTTCTCTATAGTTTGTTTTTTTATTTCCTTTATTCTTGTTGGTGGTTAAATCAGTTTTCTTTACGGCATCTCTGTTTTTCCGAGCGTGTGTGTTCCTTAGGACTGGTTTTTGTTTGGTTTTATTCCATTTTGTTGAAGCTTTTTCACTTCAAGTTTATGTGTTTATCTATGGATACTCTTGTGGAGAATTATAGTAAAGATACTATTGAATAGGAGGAGAATAGGGGACTAGTTTTGGAGGCAGATCTGGTGGCCGTGGAGGAGAGGTTGTTGGAGGGATGTGCTTCTCGACGGTAGCATATATGGGTGGTAACAGGTAAAGCTATGCAATCATTTTCTTTTAGAGAAATCATGGCTATAGTATGGAGGCCGGTTAGAGGAATTACCATTGAAGAAATTGCCACTTAAAAGTTATGCTCAAGTTTTACCACAAGAGGAAATTAGTTGTGTTGTCGAGGAGGGACCCTGGAATTTTGAGAAAACTTTAGTGGTCATAAGGGGGTTAGGGCGAACCAATAGGCCTCTTGAGGTTTCCTTAGAATATGCATATTTTTTGGTTCACTTTCACAATATCCTTCTAGGGTACATGACGGTTAAAGAAGCTTGGGGTGGCAAACATGAACATTGTGCATCTCAATAGCAAATTGAGGATAACAAAGATAAAAATGTTTCCATGCTTCAGAATTTGATGGGTTACACATTAGCCCCTTATCTATTTCATGCTCAATATGACACGCCATGTGTGAAACTGTTACATTTGTGTAAAGACTCGATGTTTCATCGTAAAAGGTCAACCAGATAGGAGAAGTAGCCCAATGTCTTATAGTGTATTATTGTTTTATAGCTTTCCGGTGTGGGACAAATACTTTAACGCGCTTCCTTAGCCTGAACCGGGCTGGACAATATCGGGGTGTATAAGTGGGTCAAACAAATCATTAACAAGCTAGCTACCCTTAATCGTGGGTGCTAAACAAGTAGTCAAACCACAACCGAACTTGACTTTGATACCATGTAAAGACTCGGAGTTCCATCCTAAAAGGTCAACCTGATAGGAGGAGTAGCCCAATGTCTTATATAGTGTATTATTGTTTTATAGCTTTCAGTGTGGGATAAATACATAAACAATTTGAGTCACACAATCTCTATAATTGTGAGGCTAATGGAATGTCAAATAACTTAAACAACAAAACTTTTTCATGGTTTGCAAATATTATTTGATTGTCTCACTCAACACCATAAAACTTCCAACACAATAATGTCTTATCGTTCTTCTAAAACATGAAAACAACATACATTTGTTTTGCCATGCACAATATGTGTAACAGGGTGGTCCAATTATGGTCAATATTTTTTCATCGAGTAATAGGTATCATGAAGATAATGGCCTCTGAGGAGCGTGCTACCTAGATACGGTAGTGTTCTAGTCATGCAAGTTTCGGGAAGGTTATATTCTGAATTTATACTTAAAAGTTCTGAAACGGCCGACAATTGTAAATCCACAGCTTTTACCCCAGTTCGCAGCACTCTCTTCAAACCTCCCCGAGATAACAACCGAAGTGCTAACTCAAACAGGCATCGATGTTTCATTTTTTGTAGGGGAAACAATTGGACAAACTCCATGGAAGCAGTTTCAGTCCTATTTACCCTAGATCCCCTACCCCCGACCCCCCAGGATCAAAAGAAACCATTGATTTTAGCACATCGTGAAATCAGCCAATAAGTTTGTCCATATAAAAATGACAATAAGTAGTAAAACTTGATCCTGCTTCATGTTCATTGGTATTAGGCAAGATTGAGGCTCCTACCATATCATACACCATTTGATAATCTGAATACATTTGATCGTAATCACCCCAATGAGTCATCTTGTTCGAAATGTGATGAGTGATTCCTATGGTGCATGGGAAAAGGGACAGATCAAATAGTTTAATTTTGACTTAAAAAGTACAATTATGACAGCTCTTGATAAAATTGTTTGTATATTTATCTTTATTTCATACACAATTGTGTTTGTGCATGAGAAAATTTAATAAATTCATCGATACCGTTAATCAACTCTTGGGTTAACCTCCACTACATACAAACAACCATATACCAACACTACAAAAGTGTTGATATAGATACATAAAATGTTGGCATAGACATCATTTGGCTATACCAACAAAAATATATGCAATTCTAACAAAAATCTAACTGTTGGTAAACGTTCCGTAGGAATAGCGCAACATATTTTGTTGCCGTGGGAATAGCTCATTAGCTTATACCAACAGAGTATTAACTGTTGGTAATTACATTAGGCGTAGACTAGTATAGTACATATACCATTGATATTGTTAAAAACAGTCATTTAATAACCCACATACACACCCATAGCTTTCACAAATTTGAGGTAAAAAATAAGAACATAATTTCAAATATAAAACTTAAATTATTACATATTAACAAATCCAACTGCCCAAATATATGATAACAGTTTGGCCTTAAAATAAAATTGCAAAGTTCAACTATTCATCCCAATGCATGGATATGCTTCTGCCTTTCCATTGCATGTTTAATCGATCAATTATCAGTACCTGAAGTTGAAACAATTCCTCACAATGTTTAGTCAAATGAATTATAAACAAATCATATAGTTATAAAAATGTTTATAACAATATTACATATAGTTCCTGCCTAAGCACATAGTAGAGTTAGTGGCAAAGTTTATATTTATAGAGATTGTTTTGAACAATAGCATCGCACCCAAAGGTAATCCATTCTTGATTTTATTAATTATGCATTATTCACTTTTTATTAAGATCAACAACAATATAGACTTTGAATATAAACTGCCATTTCGGCTTCACATAATAACAAATCAAACAATTTCTAGAATTCTTCTTTAACAATCTCTAACCTAAAAATCCTCAATGACTGCTAGCCCTCAGTTTGCCTCATGCAAACCCTTTTTAGAACCATGCGAACAATAGATTGACATTTAAAAATTAGATGACCAATTTTCAAATTTTTATCAATATGACACCCCAACCCACCAAAAACGTAAAGATGCTAAATGACCATTTAACTATAAAAGAATAAATCTAGTATTCTACATATAGTTCTAACAAACTCCCAAAAAAGATAAATTAAAAAAATGATAAATTTAAAATGGGTCACAAAGCTGGAGAAGATGTTTGGGACGCTTACCCTAATTTCATAAAGCGACGCCTAAATAGTAAGAGAATGGCAAAGATTGTTGAACCTCATAGGGCTAGCTCCCCAATGAAAGTCTGAAAGACTGAAAGTGCAGGCTAAGCAACTGTTTCTTGCTATAAAACTCTTCCCCTCCTTTCTCGGGATACCCTACACAAGAAAAGACTAATCTCATATAAGGTGAGAGAAAAATAATAATTTAAGACTAAAGCATACAGAAGGATATAATTCAAAGTACCTGCTCTTCAAAAAGGGGAGAGAAAACTATATGCATATGACTTTTATATAATCTTTAGAATATCATATGCTTCAGGGTACTGAAAATATTGTCAGGAAGCCTCACAAGGGATATTATATGATATAATACCTAGACCGAAATTTTAGAGACAATGACACACTCGAGTCCTTAAATTTGGATGCTTTTTTCCTACTGAACTTTTTTGGTGCTATATTGCTAAGAAATGTTTCAAATTGCTCAAAAAACCTACAAAAATCAATTCCAAAGCCTAAGAGCACTACAAATTGTGCGGTCTATAGACTTCAAACATAGATTTCATAATAGATTGTATGCTTCATAAAACTTTTGTAGAGTAGTACAAAAAGTAGAGTATATTAGTTAATAGTTAGTGGTGGAGAGACCGCTTCCATGCTCAGAACATACCTATAATTAGGAGCAATGAATATTTGATAGTGAAATTCTTTTCGAGGACAGGTTTTACAGAAAACTGAAAACTTCATAACTCCTATGTGACAATATGAAATTTTAAACATTGATAGAAATGCTTAAAACACTATTCAAAACCAATGACTATTGTCAACAATTGCAATATTTTGAGATAAAAAATTTCCTTAGATGACATGAAAATTGCAGTAGGTTGAGCGCATATTGTGAAAATGCATTGACGTCATTGCGCAAAGCATGCTTTAGATAATTGTCTCTGCATTCCGATTCAAACGCAAATTAACTGAAGCAATTGTGGGATGCAAAAATAGCTAAGCTTTCTAAACTTAAATTAGAAATTCAAATACAAACTTTGAAAAGTACACTTTCCTAAGAATATATACATGTGCAACTTTGATAATAGACGTATAGCGGTAAATGCTCCAATCCTTCCTATAATAATACATGTGCACCCTTGGTAACACACATATAGCAATTATTAATTGCATCTTAGCGGGGTGTATGCATATCCGAGTATTGTAAATTTGAAGTTGACATAAAATTCCAATTCTGATCTTAGTTTGGGAGACATTTCCCCTCCATTACCTGCCCAACACTATTACTTTATATTATATAAAGATATTAAAGAAAAAATGGGGCAAATATCTTTTGAATTTATAACTGTTATATTTATTTATATTTACATAAGTATTTATTGAATAGAAGAAGAGAAATTGGGCAAATATCTTAAGAATGAGAGATAGAGCATAAAACGTTGTGATTAATGGCTTTTTGGACCAAGAAGATGACGTTCTTCTCATGATTCAAGTATCACATATTGTAGAGAATTCCAAACGACTTACTTGATTCAAATTTCGTGTGAATGATAACTCAATAATCTACAAATGTTGTGAAGACGTCGTGGCCAAAATATAAAAGGATCAAAAGCTAATCAACCAATAAAGTCAGATGTTGGTGGTGGGATTTCAGGATGCATATTTCTCACCGTTTTATCCATAACTTTTGATTGGATGATTTAATTCAATTAATTCAAGTTTTGTTGGATACAAGATTTCAATATCGACAACTTTAATGAAAGAATCATTTCCAAATTCGTAACGAAAAAAGATATGTTGTCAGGTGCCGGTCAGTTCACAACCGGCGCTGGTCGGATGTGAATTTCTCCAATTGCGCCACTGCAATTGTGAGACCGCACCCGAACGTTATTGAAATTATGATTTAAAACTCATAGTTGATGTATTGATTTCCCTATTATCAAACATTTGTAAAACGATTGATGTTTTAGATAATGTATGATTAATCGTTCTATGTTTTTGGCCCGTATCATAAGAATGAGCTTCCAAATACTTAATTTTGACATCTTATTAGATATAAGAGCCCAATACAATATAAATAAACATTCATAACCCTTCTAGACAAAATAAGAAAGGTTGGGCAGCCCAAGTATTACCTTGAGCCCAACTTGCTAAAAATAGCAAGTTTGATGGAAATTGATATGCTAGAAACACTTGAGGGTATCTCACACCGATTATAGATTCCAAGTAATTATTAGGAAGACAATAATAATTGATATATATGGATAAAGGGGTGAGGGAACCCCTAGAGACAAAAACAAACTCCTATGGTCTCATCTTTGACATTACTAAACTGAAATATAGGAGTAAGGTTCTTCTCCTATTATTGTACACCATATAAATTATTGGGATCATCCTAAACATATTAGAGACCAATAATATGATGTAAAAGGTTGATTTTGTCTAAATAAATTCAAATGAGTAAAAATACATCACATAACAAAAGTACAAAACAATAGAACTCGACTCTTCCATTTTTGGAAGTATTAGTAGATATTTGATCCCAAATTAATTTGGGACCAATGAGGAGCGTCCCATACCTTCTTAGCACCTGAAAAACAAAGAAGATAACTTAGAAAATTTATTTTTGGCGTACAAAAGGGAAGGAGGATGAAGACATAATTGACAAGCAAAGGGACCCTCTTCCCAATTGAATAATTGATTAGAAGATATTTTGATCAATCATCCCACATGCCAACCCATTCTCCATCATTTAACTTATGAGACTAAGAGAGATGAAAGATAACCTTCCTAGGACCTCCCATACGAGCTCCCAAAGCATATAGATGAATATAGCTACAGAAATCAAAGAGAGCAAGTAAAAAGAGAAAACTGTCCCCAGAATTCACATCACTGCGTAGGGTTGATTGTTCAATCCATATTTCGAGCATCACCTACCCAAATTAGGTGTGTGAGGTATCTAAAGAAAGCTATCAAGATGAGGATTCTGGGAATGTGATTCTTTCAATTAATTAAGTAGGGGCAGATCTCCAAATCATCGAAGACAGACACTACCTTGAATCCAAAACCTTGTTTTTCATTATCTAAACCACATGAGCGATTGATGAGGCTATTATATACTATTAAAAGTGTAGAATATGTTCTTGATAAGTTTTTTTTATGGATTGTAGGGTTAGATACTAACCTAGGATGAACCTTGAAAGGTAGGTGGTTGTACTCGCCGGAAAACATCCTTCAAGGAGGCTGTTTTCATATCTATTGTTAGAGGACGAGCCAATACTTGGAGGAGGTCATATAGCTATCATTTCTAAGCAAGGAATCAGTTTCCAAACGACTTTGGCCGAAGGTTTGGGTGTTGGATTGGAAGATGGCAGATTTGAGTTTAATTGAGGTGAGGATCGACATTTAGTTGCTTACAACTTGTAGGTTAATCATAAGATTGCCTAAATGTCAAAATCATGTTTTCATGGATTATGATGCTTAAATATTGATAAAATATGGATATAATTGGTAAGAAATTAACTTGATTATGATTTGAGACCATATTGATAAAATGGAGTTAAATGAGGAAGAAATTCCCCTTATGATCCTTCGAGTTTTGCACCAATTCCACAATTAATCATCGTCTTTCATTTTATCCATTTTTGGTACCTGACTATTGTTTTCTTGACCATATATAGTCCTTTTCCGATAGTAATAATGCTCAGAAATGGACCACAAATGGTCAAGAAAACAATAGTCAGGTACAAAAAATGGATAAAATGAAAGACGAAGACAAAATATCGAAATGACACAAAACTCGGAGGACCTAAAGTGGAATTAATTCTTAAATGAGCTATTAATAATGGACTATTATGTTAAAATAGGCATTTTTGATCATGTATAAATTGCATGGATATATAAATGAATATTTATATATTGAAATTGGATAGTTAAGTTGCTGTCACATATCTCTAAATATGTTGGGACTCACATATATGAATATTCGATTTGATAAGAATAATCTTAATAGTATTTAGATACTAGTTAAGGATTGTTTGTAATTGTTAATAGAATTGATCCTAATAAGGTTAGGATTGTGTGAGATGCACTAGAATATACTTCAAGTGTCTAAATTGATATAGTTGAAGCTAAGATCAAGCTATGAGCAATCATTGAGGATGACCCAAAGTGATTTATTTGATATGTTGATTCTAGGCATAATACTTTCTTAGGAATCGGGCTGTGATATGCATGGTGATGCACTTGAGTCGAGTTCTAAGAAATGCACGGTGAAGTATTAGATTCGGGTTCCGTGATATGCATGGTGATGCACTTGAGCCGAGCTCTAAGAAATGCACAGTAAAGTATTAGATTCGTGTTCAGTGATATGCATGGTGATGTACTTGAACCAAGCTCTAAGAAATGCATGGTGAAGTATTAGACTCGGGTTCTATGATTTGTATGGTGATGTACTTGATCCGAGCTCTAAGAATGCAAGATGACGTATTAGGGTTGAACTCTATGATTGTCGTGACCAGTAGTCACGGGGAATAGGGATGGTTTTTTCAAAATGAACATGGGCCCACAGGCCGACTACTTGACTTTATATAAAGTAAGTATATTTTCAAACATGGTAAGATAGGGTTACAACCTAGATTATACTATCACCCAAATTGATGGCCTTGTGTTTGAAATACTTGTTGTATACTCCCCCGTCCCTTAAAACTTTGCCATCTTTCCTTTTTGGGACGTCCCAAAAAACTTTGCCACTTTCCCTTTTAATCAATTATTTTGTGGTTTCTGTTATTTCTCTCTCCTCTGCATAAATCTCAACCACACAGTTTTTACTTTATTATTCTCCGTGCCGGTCAACTTTGGCAAAGTTTTAAGGGATGGAGGTAGTATATATTAGATACCATCCACATCGGTACTTTATAGTTTCGAGAAAGTACTGACCCCTTCGGGGACATCCCACCACCATTTCTGGTTGATGTTAGGGCTTGCTACATGTATGTACCCGTTGCTCGGGTGATCTTTTGGAGGAGACGTGGTTCGTGCTTCCTCCGTTTTTTTAAACAATAATAAACTTCCTCATAGATATTTTTACTTTAGAGCTTGTGTGCTCATGTTTGACCTGTGTGACATTTGATTTTAAACTATACTTTCCGCTGCGTATTGAATTGCTTATTATGCTTATTTATGGATGACTTATGTGTGAATGATATTCATGATGCCTTGTATAATTTGGATAAGCTTGACTATGGTTGACTTATCTAGATTGTACGACGGTTGTTAGCGTGTCTGGTGAGGTCCGGGATGTGGCAGTAATGAACCAGGGTCGATCATTTGACGTAACCAGCGTCAGTCGGACCAGTTTCCTAACCTCCCGATTTCTTGGAGGTGAGAGCTAAGAAATTTCATTTGGTCTGATTTTTGATCATTTATAGACTAAAAGATGCCAATCTTTGGCCTATATAAACCCACATTTCAATCCCTTAATGATCACCAATTCCATAGATTAATTTGTAGCTTTTATATTTTTGTCTTACGGAGGGAAGATTATCCTACAAAATCATTTGTGTTGAGGTATTATTTCTTTTGTAATTTCATATTTCATTACATTTAGTTATTATATTGTGATTAATATGAGCATTAGAGGCTAATTTCTTAGCTAAGGCTAGGGATGAAGATCTATGCATACTAGGTGTTTGATAAAAGTTATAAACCAATAAATTGTGATTTATCATTTATACTTTGATTGTTTATGGCTATGGTGTACAACAAAGAAGTATGTTAAATTTAGTGTATGCTTGCAATGAACGTTGAGGTCTAAAGTATGAGTATTAAAGGATAAAATTTATAGTACCTAGAATAAAAATGTATCTGGTCTTATATGATACCGGTGTGATGTCTTGATATTCAACAAGGTTACAGTAGATGAATGTTAGCCGTAACTGGACATACATGTATTGAAAATCACGTTCCCGCTTCTTTAGCCGGAATTGGAATATGTTAGTGACATCGTATTCATAATTAATGGGGAAAAACTAGTAATAAATCCTATTAAAGCATTTAGGTGAATCCTAATTGCCTTAATAATTCTCATTCTTGTTTAAACCAATATCAAAGAACAAAGTTTCTGAAAAGTTACATCATTTATATACTTTGCACGCAATACTCAAACATTATAATATCAACCATTTCCTGTGGATCGACCCGGTATTTACCGATATTTTATTACTACATCGGCGCTAATAGTATACTACAAAAGTTTTTTTTTTGTTTTTATCGTAATATACTAAAGAAGATTAAAAAGGGCTAAATAAAATATATAGATATAGTAAAGAAAGGATACCTTTTATAGTTGTACTCGGCGTGCTTGCATATTTAAAGTGTTGCATAATAAACTCATCATCAACGCTATCAAACACATCACATTCTACTTAATTTTGCTACTCAATCTTCTTAATTTTCATCGCTGAGAAAGCTCTTTCAATCTTGGTGGTAGCAACATGTAAATTTAGTGCTAACTTTAGAAGTTAATTAATTAACTGATAGACACAATGTTTCCCTGTCTTCGCTAACATCTTTGTAAGGTAAGCAATTCCTTTCAACTTTGAAAATTTATCATTTCTTCGCATATCAATAATATAATTTCCAACCTGGTTTTCAAAAACTACCAAAACCATACTTGAGAAATCACTTTGGATAAAATGTAGCAAACTCAATAAACTTGATCTTGTCAAATGCTTCAAAGGACTTGTCTGGACTCAAGCACCTCAAACAAAGAAGCAACATAGCGTTGGACTCCTAAAACGGTAATTAATTAGTTCTTGAAGTTACATATTCATAATTGTATAAAACAGGTCATACCGATAATGCTCCCAATATTTTATATCCTTAGGTTTGCGTCTCGAGTCCCGACATGCCCTTTGGTTTAAATTTATTTTCCATATTAGAATTGTCAAGACCATGGACTCTGCAAAACACAGACACTTCCTCCTATAATGGATCCCACCCTATAATGCATTCCAGATATCTTTATCCTTTTTTGCATTGCTTGAGATGGTTCATTTGTAATTCCCAAGACATTTTTCATCAAATGCAAAAAGAACGCAAAATCAAAAGTTTGTATAGAGTCTAAATGTCGCCTAGCTTCACCCTTTTGATCTGAAGTCACCCAATCTTCTTAGATAACTTCAACGACATCAATCAGTGAGGAATACATTTGAACTAAGCTAATCAAATTGCCATAGTTTGAACCACAATGAGTTTCACCACTTCACTTCAAATCAATTCCATAATTCATGCCTCGCTGAGTATGAATTTCACCTTTTTCAATTCCTTCTTTAACTCTAGCCACATGTGTTTGTTAGAAAATTGATGTAACGTATCTCTAAAGTACAAGAACAGAAGTTTAAAGTTTTCCCTAACAGATCTTCCCTAATTATGAAAAAACAACGAATATAACAATAATAATATATCTGAGTTAGAACTTACGGTTCTTCCAGCCTAGCGGTCATAATCCTTGATCTTATGTATCCATGTGATTTCTCCTTTCCGAAAGAAAGGATAGATCTCTCAAAGAGAAATGCTAGGAAATCTCTTCGCATGGAAATAAACAGGTAATACTGAATTTAGAAAGCTAGCTCCAAATTATGAAGGAGGATGATGCATTTATACTAATTCTAAACCAGTTTACCAATTACCAGTCACAATGAAAGTCTTTCTCATTAATGAGTTCTAGTCCTACCAGGATCAATACTTATCATTAATTAAATAATCAGATAAAATAAAATAAAATAAAATAATAGCCAAGTAGGAAGAGGGCCAGGCCACTCCTCCCATCCTTACTATTATTTATTTTTTCCTTTTCCTTTTAATTCTAAATTGAAAAAAATATGAATTTATTTAATAATAAATAAATACATCTTGATTAAGTATAATAAACCTAATTTATCTTACTTAATTAATTCTATCAAATAGAACTCTCCATCAACATCATAAATTAAATATAGTTTAATCTAATTAAATTTTAATCTATTTTCAGTATTACAAATTAAATATTATTTAATCTAATTAATATTTAATTCCTTCTTACAATTCAATCGGAAGGTATAATCACTTGTTGTGTGATCCATAGGGCATTATATATTAAGCACTAATCAAATTTAGGTCTTAGCAAATCCCTAGATGATTCTCAAGACAAACTTAATATATAAGGAAGTTTGTGAGGACTATTAAAACTCATTGTATTATAGAGCTCATAGTGATACAGTCCTTTCATTCAACGAACATTCAAATAAGTCTAGAACATGATATTGTGTTTATTCCAATAACTTAGTCTCTATCTCTCAATCTTTCTAGATGATCCATACTGATCATATTCGATATCCAAAATGAATATATCTTTGCATTGGCCAATGACTTTATGATCCATCTAGATATGAGAAGTATAATGTTCTCTCTTAATCTATTATGAGTAATGAATCCTTTCTTGGCTCAACTACTACTCCATGTGCTTCATGATGTACCCAACACATGCCGTATCTAACCTGATTAGAGTGCAAGCGTTGGTCATGGTCAAAGTATATCACTCCGCACATGTAGTACGTATTGACCTCAAGTCGGAGGACTATTACACTATTCTATACGCTGATTATCCCATAGACACATGAATAGAACTTATTAAATGGTTTCTCGGTGGGTATGTCAATATTCTCTAAAATATCTATGTGACCATCATGAATTACAGGAACTCATAGTTGTGAGATCAACTATACTTTCTAAAAGTATGGTGCAGTCCACATACCAATCTTATCGCATATCATTTATATCATTTTCTTGATGATCATTGATTTTAGGACCTTATGTCATACTACTTCCGTCCCTTAACATTTTGCCAAAGTTGACCGGTACGGAGAATAATAAAGTAAAAATTGTGTGGTTGACAGTGACGGAGCCACCCTTTGGCCAGTGGTGTCAATTGACACCACTGGATTTTATTTTTCCATAGGTAGGTATATAAAAAAAATTTAAAATTTAAAAATGACAAAACTGAAAAATAAAAATTCTCTATATAGGTATAAATAATCTTTCATAAATTATATATTGACACCATCCAACATTTAAAAAAGTGGGGGTCAATTTAAAAAGTTTAAAAGTTGGAACACCAAATTGAAAAGTCAGCAAAGGCAAGGAGAATTGAAAAGTCAGCAAAGGCAATTGCAAAAAGGAAAAAAGCAATTGATTCTGAATTTTCCAAGCACGGATTGAGCTTTTCTAGATTACGAGGACAAGGTTATGATGGGGCTAGCAACATTGAGTGGTGAATTCAGTGGTTTGAAAAGTTTAATCTTGAAGGAAAATGAGTGTGCATTTTATGTTCATTGTTTTGCTCACCAACTTCAATTAACTCTTGTAGCCGTTGCAAAAGGTGAAGATTGTGTTGCTTCTCTTTTTCAAAACATAAGAACTTTACTAAATGTTGTTGGAGCTTCATGCAAACGGTATGAGATGCTCAAAGAGAGTCAAGCTATTAGAGTTGTTGAAGCATTAAATAATGGCGAGATTTGTAGTGGAAAAGGATTGCAACAAGAGCGTAGCCTCAAATGTGCTGGTGATACACGATGGGGTTCTCATTATGGTACGTGTCTCAACATTATTATCTTGTTTTCGTCTATCCTTGATGTGCTTGAGAATGTGGCTGAACATGGTTCAAATTCTGAACAACGAGTTGAAGCTCAAACACTCTTGCAATTGGTCCAATGATTTGATTTTGTTTTCACCTTACACTTGATAAAGAGTGTTCTTGGAATAACAAATGAGTTGTCAAAATGTTTGCAAAGAAAGGATCAGGATATTGTTAATGCTATGGAATTGGTTAAAGTTGCCAAAGAACGATTGCAAAATTTAAGAGACGGAGGATGGTATATTCTCTTTGGTGAAGTTTCTTCATTTTGTGAAAAGAATAAAATTTCAATTCCAAGTATGAATGATTTTTATGTACCTCAAGGGAGAGTCCGTCGCAAAGTTATCCAAATCACAAACTTAAATCGTTACAAAGTGGACTTGTTCTATGTTGTGGTGGATAGACAACGCGAAGAATTGAACAATCGATTCACAGAAATTACTACAGAATTGCTTCTTTGTGTGGCTTGCCTTAGTCCTAAAGACACTTTTTCATCTTTTGACAAGGACAAGTTGATTCGTATGGCTCGATTATATCCTTTTGACTTTTCACCGGTAGATGTTCTTGCTCTTGATAGTCAACTTGAAACTTTTATTCTTGATGTGCGCTCCAACTCTGCATTTATAGATATTACAGAAGTTGGTTGTCTTGCTCAAAATTTGGTGGAGACAAAGAAACATATTGTGTATCCATTAGTTTTTTTACTTGTGAAATTAGCTTTGCTTTTACCGGTGGCCACCGCAACCGTGGAAAGAGCTTTCTCAGCCATGAAGTTCGTGAAGAACAGGTTGCGCAATCGAATGGGGGATGCTATGATGAATGATGTCTTAGTTACTTTTATTGAAAAAGATATATTCAAAAGTGTTGACAAATAAAAAATTATACAACGTTTTCAAAATATGAAAACGCGTCGTGGACAGTTGTGACTTAGTACTTTAATTTTACTAATGACAATATTTGCTTTTTTGCTTTATATATGTACACATTATTATATAATATTGTTTTGCTAAATTGACACCACTGACACGAACTTCTGGCTCCGCCACTGGTGGTTGAGGTTTGTGCAGAGAAGAGAGAAATAACAGAAACCACAAAATAATTGATTAAAAGGGAAAGTGGCAAAGTTTTTGGGGACGTCCCAAAAAGGAAAGATGACAAAGTTTTAAGGAACGGAGGGAGTATCAAACCTCCCACTTACTTATTGACAATATAAGTCCAATGGATTACAATTATGAACAAGACATTGAAAATTGAAATGTTTAATCATCAATGTGTAATACCGTATATATCAAATACTCTCTCTGTCCCTTAAAACTTTGCCAACTTTCCTTTTTTCGATGTCCCACTAACTTTGCCACTTTCCTTTTTAAGTAAAGAATTTGTGGTTCCGGTTAATTCTCTCTCCTTTATATAAATCTTAATCACACAGTTTTTACTTTATTAATCCCCGTGACGGTCAAATTTGGCAAAGTTTTAAGGGACGGAGGGAGTATATAAAACTGAATGTGATCAAGTACATATATCTCCAAAAAGTGATTGTCGCTAGGACATGTACTAACAGTGTTTCACGAAGCATGTCGCATCGCTTGCATGACCCCCCAACAATATTTAGTTTAGTCATAAATATATAATTATTTCTTCATTTAAAGTGAGTCGTCACTTTTTTGGAAAAAGTAAATAGTGTCATATTTTTCGAAATGAAAATACTAATTGTAATATAGAAGTATAGATGCCATGCATTTTATCAAAAAGCATAAGGAAAAACGGAAGTCTGCCAAACAAAAAAACGTTTGAAATGGTAAATAAAGGACGTGTTTGATATTTAACGTTAGCGGATAGCGGATAGCGGATTATGTTAGCGAGTTGTTAATAGCGGATTCAATCAGCGCATTTTACTAGCGGAATAAGTTGGCGGTTTTGCAGAAGATGTTTGGAAATTTAGTTTTTTGGCCATAACAATTATTAGAAAACGCCATCTTTCAAAATGCTAACCGAAAACTCTCCTATTTACAACGTTTCTATTTCAGCAATTGCATCCAAAAAAGCTAGAGCCGAACAACTATTTACAAAACAACGTTTTCACTTATTGAAAACGTTAAACAGACCCGTCTTTGGGAATTTTGGTGCCCCAGGCAAGAATGAAATCACATAATACTTACAAAAGATGTTATCTTTAAATTCTTGTTTGAGACGGAAAAAGAAGGTATTGTTACATACCTATTAATAGAATCCTCAAAAGATTGTACAACTTCATTAATTTTTTCTTAAATTTTATTTCACAAGTCCCAGAGACATTCTTACCTTTCTCGTCATAGCAAAACAATTCCCCAAACGTACAAATGAGGTTTAAAGATAAGCGTAATCACCACAATATGAGATATGAATGAAAATAAATAATAAATTCAATACAACATAATGAATGAAACTTGTTAAGTATACAATATGTTGAGGGTAAGTCCCGCAGATCCGAAAGCCCAACACGAACTTTGGATATATCAGGAATGGCCCAGAATCAAAGTGTATAAGAAAATATAAGATCTGAACTAACTAAAACTCGGAAGCTCACTTGTATTAATTAACCAATCTGATTACAAGGGATTTCCCGATCGGTAAGTCAGAAACTATGCTTTAATACACGAAATAAGAGCAAATGATGCTATTCTAGAGCTTGAGTATTGAAATGCTAACCCTTACAATGACTTGAAACCTTCTATTTATACTAATGGAGAGCATGGGCTGCCTCTTGCTGATTGGCCGTTGTTCCACCGACTTGGTCATCCATGCTTCCACTTGCTGATGTCATAGTCTGGCATTAACTGCACCTTGCCACTTGCTGGTTGGCCGTTGCTCGAACGGGATCTTGGTCCGTACTGAGGATGCTGTCAAATTGGCCCAAGTATAGTATATAGCCCGAACCCCGTTCGGTATGTCTTCTTATTGGGCCAACCCTTATTTGGGCCGAACCTCGTTCGGTATGTCTCCTTACTGGATCTTCTCATCATAGAGTGATGGGCCTGTTACTTGGGCCGGATACCTTGGGCCTTCCCGATCTGGGTATTGGGCCTCTAGGTCAATATCCCAACACAAGTCCCCCACTTCCGATGTCTCGAACGAAGTGAGTGCATCAGGAAGTATACCAATGTCATAATACCCCGAATGGCGATCGGGGTACAGAAGTAATCAGTTCCCCATGCTGCGATTTGACGGCTGCCGCTTCATTTCCCCATATTCATCATGATAACCGTCGTTTAGTCTTTTCATTAGACGCGTGTCTAGCTTAAATGCCCCTAATGATGTGTCGCTCTCTGATTGGTTCTCGACACGGCAGTTTCAAGGCTATAAATTAGCCCTTAACTCCTCAATTCCGGGTTTCGACTCTGCAATTCCTTGGCCTTCGTTGTTTCTTCTGCAAATTTCCCCCTGCTTCCCTTGCTCAGGTAACTTCCCAACCTTGGATTTCCCATCTTCATTTCTGGCTTCGATCGAGATGAGCCCCACAGAGCATTCTTCTGATTCGGAGATGGCCTCTCATGAAGATGACCGTGACACCGCCATTGTAGATGCCATCCCAGTTCCGTTTGCCGGTGTTTCTACCGAGACGGCGACGAATACCAGGGCTGAGGCGGAGGACCTCCCTAGCACTTCTTCTTCCTCCAGTGAGGATTCTGATGACACCAAATCCGAGGACGAAATAGCCTCCATGGCGGCCGGACGTCCCAACGATGTTCCTCGCCACACTCTTGACCTAAAATTGATTAGGGAGAGGAGGCAAAAATTGACCTATCACAATAGGGCCGAAATTCCGGCCCTTATCCCAGACCCGGTGGATTTCCGTTTGCAAGCCGGGCTTCATCCAATGCGTCATAGGCCCGGAATGACCATAGTCCACTTTGACTCAATTAGGGTCGGCCTTAGATTTCCGCTACACCCTTTCTTCATTTCTTTCTTCAATTTCTACGAAATTGTACCGGCCCAGATTATGCCGAACTCTTATCGAGCAATGGCGGGTTTCATTTGTCGTTGCAAAGATGCCGGCGCCCGACCAACCCTAGAACTCTTCCACCAGTTTTTCAAAGTAGCCCCCCAACAAACCCATGGCTATTTGGCCACTAGTGCCCGAACGGGACACATCCTGTTCAAAGGAAACCCAACTTCGATCAAAGGGTGGAAAGACCGGTTTTTCTTTGTGTCCATCCCGGACGGTCTGATTCCCCGCAAGTGGAATGCTTTTCCCCGCAAAACCCCTGATCCTGTCCTCACTGAAGAAATCTACAAGGACGTGCTCGCTGTGGAGAAGGATAAATGCATGGACATCATGAATTATCTGACCCCTGAACGTCTTATAACAGCCGGGATAGGTACTGCCCGTTCTCTTGGGTTTACTTATTTTGATAAACCAAGTGCCTTGGTCCGGGCGGTCCTTCCCGTGCGAGAAACGTTCTTTCATTCTTTTTTTTAGTTTCTCACACGCTAGGGCCGCTCGATACTAACATTGCTCTTTGCCTTTTTTCAGCACCCAACCCAGATCTTCCCATGGATGATAGGAGAGTCATCGCAGCCGGTGGGGGCGGAAAGCGGAAAAAATCCCGGAAGAACCCCCAACCTACTCCCACCATTGTTCCCGCTCAGGAGGCTGCCCCTTCCCAACCGCTCCCAGAACCTCAGCCAATTCAGCAGGTCCACCAGGATCAACTAGAAGCCATGCTGCTTGATGATCGGTTCGGTTCTGACCAACTGCACCAATTTTCCCAGCATTTCGACTCCAATCGGGGGGAATCCTCGAATGCTGGTGAGACCCATACCGACCACATTACGGGTCAGGTCGAGCGGATCTCCCTATCCGACCCTGTTCATGAGGTTTTAGAGAGGGCTGGATCTACAGCGAGCCAGATCTGGTCTACCTCCTCCTGGTTCAACAACTTTTCCCTTCCTCAGTTGCCGGTCGAGCAATCTGAAGAATGTCTGGCCCTGACTGCTCTGAAGGTATATTGTCTTTTGTGCTTTGTCTTTATTTTATTCTCTGTAACCAGCACTAATTCTCGAACGGTATTCTATAGATGGGCTTGTACACCCTTCAGATGCGGGAGGCCCGCCTGGCCAAAGAGCGGGAACTGATTGTTGCCCAGTCTTCTGCTGAGCAACATGCTGCTGCTGCCATCGCCTCTTTGGAGGCCGAACGGAAAACCTTCGCGGAGGAAAAGCAGAGGATGGATGCTGAAGTCGGTACCCTTCGGGTCCAACTCGCAGCTTCCCAGGCGAAGATCCTTGCCGCTGAGGTCGCACGGGTCAGATTCGAAGAACTACCATCCAGTATCCCGGACGGTCCTTATGAAGTGAACGTGGATCTGTCCGCCGTCCGGGACATGTTTAAATCCTCCGATGAATTCTCCATCATCAAGGATGAACATGCAAGGGCCCAAATCCCGTTCGCCTTTGGGGCTTATTTGAAGGATTTCCCCAAAGGCGCCGGTCGGCTATCGGCTGGGGTGGCCCTCTTGGATAAGGACCCGGAGGCCAAGAAATGGAACGACTCCATGGTCTCCGATCTTTATGGCAAAATTGGCCAGGTCTTGCTGCGTCCCTTCATCACTCAGCTTCAAAATCAACTGGGGAGACCGGTTCAGGCCTCTGATCTCCCCACAGATGACATCATCCAGGCGCAGTTCGAGAAATATCTGCGAGCCCAGCAACGGGAAGCTGATCGAGCTGCGGGAAAAGAGCCTGAACCCCCATCTGATGATGATGAGGATGAGGATGAAGAGGGAGATGACATGGCCCCCAGTCAATAATTCATATGTACTTTTTCATTACTTTTTGTAATTTTCTTTTTCTCTAAATAGCTTGTACTTCCCAGTCAGTAGAACCGACGAATATATATCCCTCTTTTGTCTGAAACTTTCTGTGCTGTCTTTTCTGTTTTTAATGCATGATTTACTCGTCATTCGGGATTCGGCCTGTTCTGTAGGACTTAG